CTATGGTTCTGTATTCGAAAGATCTCGTTTTTTAGTTTTGTTTTTATTTGTACACGTTTTTTATTCTTATATTTTAAATTTTAATTTTGAAAGTGAGGAAGCATCTCATTTTTTCCATAATTATTATTATTATAACCACTCTGATGTTCTGTGCCACCCATGAGGCCAATATTTTAATGAAATATAAGATCAAGGTATGCCAAACTTGAATTCATAAACAGGACACAAGATTTTGACGTTTCGGCTTAGAGCCTTCATCAGAAAACAAAAATATTAATCCCACACCCAGGGCCATGCCAAGAGGTGGGGAGTTTGAACACTGACCAGGCGGCCCTATCTTCAGAGGGCATCTTATTTGTAATTTTTCATGTAGCTTTTTGTTGCCTTGGTGCCGCTCACACCTAGAGGCTCTGATCACCAGTGCCACCATTATCTCTAGACTTACTTTGACAAAGGTATTTTGAATTGACCTTTGATGTAGCTAGTAGTATGTCATTAAAGAATGAACAGTTATACAACAGTAAAAGTTTTAAAAAAATGCTCTCTGTGTTTAAAAAAAAAATAATTAATCTATTGGTTTTTTTAAAAAGACGTTATGTTAGTATTAGGAAAAGCTGAGGCTGCTCTGCTCTCCTACCAGCTGTATTGCTGGTACACGAATTTCTTTAATGTTAGTTTAAGCATGAAAAACTTCAGATACATAGTGTTTTGAATTGCAAAAAAAACCATTACTTGATTACGACATCTCAGAATAAAAGCATAAATATTGTTTTAAAAACTTCTAGATTTTAATCTGACATCTTAAAAGCAGTTTTTTTGTTGGCCAATTAATCTGTCACTAAAAGCTGATAACCAATTGATAAGCAAAGTGGCCAATTAAGCCAATAGCTGGTTATTTGCAGATTAATTTCGTTCAAACATAGTTCGGACGTTAATTTTGAATTAAATGAAATATAAAAATGCCATGTACTTCATGCAGACAACTGGAATCAAAATGGTCTTTTAATGGGCGGCTCTTTTTTAAACATATTGTGGGATGCCATTTCCAGGCTTCCTCGAAGGGTGGCCACAAATTTTCATTAATTTACTTCCAGTATTAATTCAGTGTGATCCCTGTCCAGCCTGGTGCAAAAAACCAGTAACTCATTTGATGAGTTACTGTTTGCAGCTACATACATACATACATGTGATATTAATTTTTACCCACCCTTAAATTTAAAATAATTTTTTTTCGCTATTTCGAAGTTTATTTGTTTGACTTTTACTGGTGAAAACCTCAATTTGGAAAGGTAAATGATAAACTTTAGAAACGACTTGTATAGCCAAACAAAATATGTTAGATGCACTTGAAGCTATATATTACTGTCACTACTACTTGCGCTATATCTATTGAAACACAGCAACATTATGAAAATAATACAAAACATTGTTTGGCATTCTTACACCATTTAAGAAATGGGCTTTTATATATTGTCATAATTTTAAAATAATTATTGCAGAATTTGTGAATACATAACATATGAATACTTTCTGCAGAGACAGCCATTCCCCCCCCCCCCCCCCCCCCCCCCCCCCCCCATTCTTACACCATTTAAGAAATGGGCTTTTATATATTGTCATAATTTTAAAATAATTATTGCCGAATTTGTGAATACATAACATATGAATACTTTCTGCAGAGACAGCCATTCCCCCCCCCCCCTTCCCCCCAAGCCCATCATATGCACCGGTAGACTAAATTTCCAAAATCGACAACCCCAATCCCCCCTCAGTGCATTTGTACTATATTGATGGCCCCTAATTTACCTTTTACATTTCCAGCCTACTTACTACTTAATTATAATATTAATCGGTCTAGTTGTTTTTTTTAGTTTACTTGTTTCATTAAGTTAGATTAGTCTAATTTAGTAATTATAATAATGGTACTATCGATCAATGCTCAGTGCATTGAATGATGCAGCTAAAGCTACTGCTAGTTGGGCATATTGTTTTATTAATTTAATTTTGTGTTTTGTGCTCTAAATATGTGTACTGTAATTAATGGTTGGTAATCTCAATTACAACTAGCTTGGGCTTTGGTTAGTGAAGTCTTGCCTGCTACAGATTTTACCCAAGGTCACTCCTGGCTGAAACAACTTAACAATATCCTCTCCTATTATTTTTGTTGGTATTTGATATTTTTACTATGAATTTTGTATGAGCATTTTATTTTAAATTGACACAAATGCATTTCCTATATTCATTTTCATTGTAGGCCATAGCCTAATATTTGCAATGGCTGCAGTTTTGACAAGGTCAATGTCATTCGTTCAAGAAGAACCAGAGTCACCTGCCAAGCGTGAAAAAAATGCCATGGACAATGCTCTAAAGTTGTTCAAAACTTGTAAGTTTTATTTAAAATCTTTTCTCATTATACCTTATAGAATTAGGTGTGTAGTTATATTTGCCCGGCATTGTGTAAAAGAATATTTATACAATAATACATTAAATTAGGGGTGTGCCGGATCCGTTTTTTCCAACCGGATCCGGATCCGGATTTTCTTATGCGAAATCCGCCGGATCCGGATTCCGGTTTCTCCCGGATTCCGGATTTTGGTACTATTGGTAGATACTTCGGTAAGTCAAGGTGGACTACTACTTTTTGTGTATGGGAATTCGCAATCGGCGCCAAAAAA